AAAAAGAAAGGCAAGCAGTCGCGATGCTCGCTTGCTGAGGCAAAAGCAGCCGAAAAGGTGAGAAATGTGTGATGGTGATGCTGAGGTGAAAGCAGGCTGAGAGCCGCCTCAGGGCCAAGCAAGCCTAGCAAGCAGCCTCAATTGAAACTCCTGCCGGTGATCATATGCGATAGTGCCTTTGAAATCAGGCGCACATCCAGGCACACACACGCCTTATCAGCGCCGGAAAAACACAGAAGTCGGCGCTGGAGAAGGCTGCGTGTTCGCCGGTGTAGCCAGATAGCGCATGCAGGTGGTTTTGGTGGGTTGTACAGCCATGCGTCGGCACGCTGGTTAACAGAAATTAATGCCGTAGGGAGAAGCAACACCTGCGATGAGGCTGCACACGTTGGCAGGGGGAAATGCAGGTGGTTGGTTGGGAGGCCCCTGCCCAGGCACCGTGCTGTATTAGGCAACAAGAGCTTGTGCACCCTGATGTTTACAAGACCCTGATTCCAGCTCCATAGCAACCATCCACAAGCTCCTCAGCTTTGCGTGTTTGCTGCTGGACTTGCCTACCAAGACCAAGCGACTAACATAACAGGAAAACATCACGCACGCAGAACCTCCAGCAGTGAACAATACAATATCAATAATCAACCTCGTAGTGCACAATATCAAACTAAACATTACAGAACAATTAATCACTTTTTATCATGTCATCTGCAATGGCAGCCCGCCCGATTATTATATGGGGCCATCCGTCTGCAATCCGACTGACTTTATACACTTGAACCCGACACTCAATTGACTCTGCGGACTTCAAAATCTGTCCCAAGCAAATTTCGCGCATCTCCGAATGAATCTCTCATCCAGAAAGATATTTCCTTCAGGTGCCACTGGGTTCCGGAGAAATATATCACGGAACTCCAGACACAATGGGCTACCAGTTACCCTGTAGCCGTCAAGAGGGTCATTAGCTGAGGCTCGATTGACTGTCAGAGCCCCTTTCTGGGAGAGTCGGGGTAAGTCGACCTGGTGCTGCGGAGCTGTATGGAAGGCCATCTTCCACTGCTCAACTTGGATTTGCAGCGGGGATGCAATGACCAAGAGTACAATCTTGACTGCCTGGTTGGAAGCTTCAAACCACCAATGTGCCTTCGCAATCAAGGCAGCTCTGGTCTGTGGCCAGCCAGTTTCTATGACGATAGTAGGCCAGCCATCATTCCTTTTATATCCCAACCCAAGGCTTAAATCTCCTTCCCCAGCGGCCGTTATTTCTCTGCCTTGTCTCGTATAGAATATTGTTGAATAATGTTGAGATGTCTCAAGATAAAGATCTTCACTCATTTGGCGGATGATCGCTACACAAAGCTCGCCACGGAGGCAGCCATGTATATGAGATAGAGGGAGTTTCATAATCAGTACCTCGTACTTAGCACTGTAAAAGAAAATTCGACCACGCCTCGCCGGTGATTCTACCCATTCGGTGAATTTTTCGATCGTCATTCCCGTGATTTTAGCGAGAGGAGCTCCTTCTAGTTGAATGGTGTTAATGACGACGAAGGTATCGTCTTGAGATCCTATCTTGACTGTAGGAATGTCTAAAGCACATAAGGCGGTAATATATTCTTGCGACCGAGTATCAGCGGTCGATCCCGAGGCAGTTCGCATCATGACATCTAGGCTTTCGAGGCTCTAAGTCGAAGGAGAAGTAGGTCAGAACAAATGGAGGCTATCTAACTGGGAGATAGAGGAAATTGGAAAGGAACCTTCAGGTGAGGAGTTTGGATTTGAGGAAAGAGAACAGCAAACGACTTGGTCCGGCTGTAGAGTTTTAAGGGCAAATCCAACTAGGTAAGGTAGGTCTGCCTTTTGACGTGCATATGAACTTAATTATCTTCGCGTCTGCGACCGGAATTGTTAGATTATTGTGTGCTAGTAATATATGCTTAAGAGACAATATAGCATATATTTTAGTGTTTATTCGTTTTTTGATAATGAATATCTTCATTCATTGTATAAAGCATGGTGTTCATAACTATTCTTCTATGATGTCTTATTTCTTCTGTCACCCACTTGCTATTGTAGTATTGCTGAGACCGTGTTGCTACCCTACATTCATTTTTCTGCCCCTCAGCTCTGCCCCGCTACTCGAGCCAGTGAATCGGTCACCGTAATTGTGAATTGACTGAAGAGCTCAGCTCCACCGCCAACTCCCCCGCCAACCTCCTTTATCTCTTACGTATCATCATTCGCCCTCATTCTCTTGGTTGGCAACACCAGATTCTCTGTTTGGTGAAGCAGCACCTCCCTACTCTCCCTCCCCCATCCCATCTTCCCAACCGTTCACATCCCCCCTCCCAAGCACTCATGTCGCTCCAAGTTCCCCATCGCCCCAAGGAGGGCTCAACCAAGGCCGTCATCCTGGTAAGCTCACCGCGACTCTCCCTCCACCCACCTTCCAATTCCCAAGCTACAGCCGAGGAAAACACCATCGTACACACCCAGCAAAACCAATTCTAACATGCCATCTTCCCTCTAGGTCGGTGGTCCCTCCCGCGGCACTCGCTTCCGTCCCCTCTCCCTCGATGTCCCCAAGCCCCTCTTCGAGGTCGCCGGCCACCCCATCATCTGGCACTGTATCTCTGCCATTGCCGCCGTGGGCTCCATCCACGACGTCTACATCATCGGATACTACGACGAGTCAGTCTTCCGCGACTTCATCAAGGACGCCTCTAAGGAATTCCCCGTCCTGAGCTCCATCAAGTACCTCCGAGAGTACGAGGCCCTGGGCACCGCCGGCGGCCTCTACCACTTCCGTGATGCCATCCTCAAGGGCCGCCCCGAGCGCCTCTTCGTCCTCAACGCCGACGTCTGCTGCTCCTTCCCCCTGGCCGACATGCTCAAGCTCGCCCAGGACAAGGACGCCGAGGCCGTCATCCTCGGCACCCGCGTCTCCGACGAGGCTGCTACCAACTTCGGCTGCATCGTCTCCGACGCCCACACCAAGCGAGTCCTCCACTACGTCGAGAAGCCCGAGTCGCGCATCAGCAACCTCATCAACTGCGGCGTCTACCTCTTCTCCACCGAGGCAATCTTCCCCTCCATCCGCTCCGCCATGAAGCGCCGCCTCGACCGCCCCGCCCGCCTCCTCTCCTACCCCTCCTCCGACAACCTCGAGACCAGTTACCTCCACTCCCAGGCCGCCGACGACGACGACGATGACGAGGAGGGCCGCAAGACCGAGGTCATCCGCCTCGAGCAGGACATCCTCGGCGACATGGCCGACAGCAAGCAGTTCTTCGTCTACGAGACCAAGGACTTCTGGCGCCAGATCAAGACGGCCGGCTCCGCCGTCCCAGCCAACGCCCTCTACCTCCAGCGCGCCCTCCAATCCGGCAGCGAGGAGCTCGCCCAGCCCAGCGCCAACATCGTTCCCCCCGTCTTCATCCACCCCACCGCCGACATCCACCCCACCGCCAAGCTCGGCCCCAACGTGAGCATCGGGCCCCGCGCCGTCGTGGGCGCCGGCGCCCGCATCAAGGAGTCCATCGTCCTCGAGGACACAGAGGTCAAGCACGACTCGTGCGTCCTCTACTCCATCATCGGCTGGGGCAGCCGCGTCGGCGCCTGGGCCCGCGTCGAGGGCACCCCCATCCCCGTCACCACCCACTCCACCAGCATCATCAAGAACGGCGTCAAGGTCCAGAGCATCACCATCCTCGGCAAGGACTGCGGCGTCGGCGACGAGGTCCGCGTCCAGAACTGCGTCTGCCTGCCCTACAAGGAGCTGAAGAGGGTACGTCTCATCCCTTAACCCCCAAAAATTGTTTGCTTTCTATCCATACTAACATCTTTAACCCCAGGACGTGGCCAACGAAGTCATCATGTAAGCGGGAGGCTTATATGGAAAGCTTAAAACCCCTACCCCAACCCAAAATCCAATCCTTGTGGAGAAAGACTCTGAATATCTGAGTACGAGAATGAGTTCATGGAGACATGCTCTATCGAAAAAATACCCCCTTTATATCCCAAAAACTTCCCTTTCCCATACACCAAAAATCTCACTTAGCTGGGCATTATTATGCCCATGATCATGAACCACCCCTCGCTGATAATAGACCAAACAAGCGAGCCCCAAAAATGAAGACCCTTTTTTTTCTAATGCTTTCCGGGGTGTGAAGACCAGACAATGATAAAATTGAATGATAAGAAGAAATCTTTTTTTAAACCGTGTCATCTAGATTCCATTTATAATGCTACACATCAGAAAGAATCTACCTAGATCTTCTTAATTTTTACTTCTTCCTGCCCAACCACGAAACCTAAATGGGGTCTCATGTTGAGCTTCCCATGTTTCTCCACCACTCGGCCGTCTCGAATCATCAACTCGTCTAGTTCAGTCCAGTATGCATGATGAATATGCCCTGCCCTGTTTGCCACCTTGGACAAGCCGCCAATGTCCTACTTGTCCAAATCCCCCCCCTCCTGGTATAACATGTGTCCCGATCAAGGACACAAAGAAAAAAAAAAAAAGAACGCCGCTAGTGATCTCGTGGGTGTCCCAAAAAAAATGCAGGCTATGAATGTTTTAACGAAAGAAAAAAGCCCCATTACGACAGACAAGAGTGACGATAGTCGTCCAGAGCCTTATCCAGCACTGCTGGAAGCATCTCGAACGCAGAAAAACTCAAGTCGCCTCCGAGTGATTCCCTGAATGCTGAAAAGCCCCATTAACGAAGGGATGAAGATGTAAGAAAATCAATAGTCCTGAAAAAAAGTCCCGACCTTCGTCTAGTCATAAGAGACAAAATAGGAATCTAAGTTTTGACCTCCCAAAAGGTCAATATGAATGTGATAGTTGCTGTTGATGAACCATCGAGCTCAACCTCTAAATCGCTTAAAGGATGATGCAAATGAGTATAGGAATGTAATAAAATAGCGAATGGAAGTGGGTATCGTGAGACAAAGAGAGATAAAAACAAAACGATAGTCTGATGCTCGTGGGGATTTCAATCTTATTCATCCCGCTTGAAATTCAATCTGCTTGCCGTCCGAGGCAGCATGGGGCTAGCAGGTCGGCTAGACGTGAGTCCCAGACCCTTGGTCTCCAAGGGGTCAAGCAGGCTGAGCCTGTTGTGATCTTGGCGAGGCGTAGCAGACAACCGAGGAGTCATGGCTGGAGTAATGGCTGTTTTCTCAAGGCTGGCGATCCGGATGGGTGGTGGGCGGCGCTGGCCGGGCATCTTGCGATCATTAGGCAGGCTGTAAATGTACGTGGAAAGGAGGACAAGGCCCGTGCCAATTAGGAACTGGAACCCCAGTTGTTAGTAAAGCATCAGTCGACGAGCGGGGGTCTAACTTACAGTCCAGGTGACAGCGAAATCAAAAATCAACACGCTTGCCAAGAAGCTGATGACAATACTGATGCTTGTGGCGAAGTTCTTGACAATGTTGTCCGCATCCCTGATGACCATGCTAGCAACCAGCCCTCCGATCGCTTGCAGTCCAATTGCCGTCCAGACGACCCAGTTATACCCTTCGAAAAATCCATGCTCGCGGATCCCCTCACCGTCCTGCCAAAACACACCGCCAAACAGGGATGCAATGAGAGAGTAGAGACTCAGCTGGATGTTGCGCACCCACACACTGGCTTGGGTAGGGCTCTCCTTGAGCAGCTTCTCAAAGTATACACCTGTGAATCCAGAAACAGCCGCGGCGATGAGCACACTGGTTACGCCAAGTGAGTAGTTCATGAGGGGCTCTGGGGGAGCCAGGTCCTCTGTGATACCCTCGTACGTTGCAGACCGCTTCGTGCGAAGAGACCTACCCTTACGTTCCTTGCCTTCCTCCACCTCCGTAGCCTTGGTCTCAATCACAGGGGCTCTGGTTTGCCTGGCATTGGTGCGAGTGACCTCAGTTGCCCGCTTCTTTTGCTCGGCCAATTCCTCCTCCTCGCGCTTAGCAAGGATCTCGGCCAGCCAGTTCCCTTCCAGGTCCTCCTCTTCGAAAGCACTTGTGTCGCGCTTTGAAGGATACTGGGGTGACTGTGGCTGATACAACTCGGGACTTGCCTGGCCCAGTTCGTGCAAAGAACGCGGAAAGAATTGGTCAGTTGTGTCGTGGAAGAAGAGCGAGGGCACGGATGAGTTCGGAGGCAAAGACACGACGCAGACTCCGAGCGTAAGAATGAATAGAGCCCCCCAATGCTTGAGTCCGAGTGACCGGCGTAGCAAGAAGACGCTGAAAAGGGCGGTGGTGAGGATCTTGAGCTGGTAGAGAACCTGGAACTGAACGGCGTCCAAGTTTCCGATTGCGACGTATTGCAGGAGGTTCTGGAAAGTGTATAGTGCGGCAGGCACAGCGAGTTTCCATCCGTCGCCGTTAAACACCGAATTGTAGATCTGCTCGAAGAGGACTGTGGCTGGAGTGCTGGGGGCCAGAGTCTTGGATGTCTCGTACATGGCGAGGGTTAGAGAAATGGAGAGCTTGATGAGCTCGTTGAGGAATACAGCTGTTGATGTGAAGTAGCGGTGGTCGCCAGTCGGGGGCATGATTCGTGAGTAGTGCATGACCTATCAACAGTATTAGCCACCGATTCGACCTCCCAGGAAACAGAGAGCCCCCCCAATGGTGGGCTCTCTGGAAAGCTTATCACACGTACCAGCATGAGAGCGGAATTTTGAAATGTAAGCTGCAAGAAAAGGTAGACGACGGAGGTTAGCCACAAAAGATGATACGGGCCGGCGCGCGGGGAAGATGTGCGAGCGCACTCACAGTGACCAAGGACAGCATTTTAGAAGTGCCTCCCTTTGGGGAAGCGTTCCCCGGTAAAGCCCCCATATTGTCGCGTGGTGTCGCTCACCGGTGCAAGCGCAGAGCGAACGGGTCGCACAGAAAGCTGAACAAGGAGCCGAGGCTGAAGGATCGCTCTCGAGATAAAACGGTGGGCGGCGGCAAGGCGGGAAGGGCGCTGCGCCAATGCAAAACTCGGTCGGAAGCACCGCGCAAATATTTCCGGTGGTCGGGTTCGCTTGTCGCAGTCGTCTCTGGACAGGTTATTTCGTCGCAGACCTGATTGTTGCGTATCGCTCCCCTGGTCGCGTGGCAGAGGTTATGAATTGGGATTGAATGGATGGGTATAGGATGGTCGTATCGTCGGCGTGGTTACCAATTAAATCCCCAGGCCCCCTTTAGATCCCCAACAAGTTGAAGTTGTAGTTGTAGCCCCGATGAAAGCTGGTCCGAGATCCAAGACAAGACGAGACTTTTCGCCACCGCCAATTGAAGCTGCTCCGGCCGCCAGGAAGACCCGGAACTTTCATAGGCTGCTGCGTCGAGTTAGAGAGAGCCAGCACGTGGTGCGCTGGGCTGAGCCGGGGGAATAGCGTAAGGAGCGGAAAGAAAGGAATGACAAGAGTAGAGGGTGAGGAAAGGAGAAGGGGAGCAGGAAAAAGTGGTTGTAGCCAGAGCAGATACTGGGAGATGGGGTCTGTGTGTAGGTGGGAGTCTGTGCGAGAGGGGATGGATCAGTTTAAGGACGATGGATGAGAATGATGACGGCGACAACCAGCAAGGCCAGGCCAGGCCAGGCAAGGAAAGACATGCAGGAAAAAGCTGCACTGCGCTTCGGGGTGGGGATCAATCGCTGGTGCTCTGTACTGCTACCAGAATTAGTAGCTAGGCCCAGGAGGTAAGGTAGGTAGCGAGTCCCTAGGCCCCCTTCCAGGGCCAAAGGACCATGGCGCGCGGCAGGTCGACACCAACAGGCGAGCAAACATGGAGGCCAGCACGACGGGCATTGCTCCATGAGCCAATCGACGCTGCGTCTGGCCCGGGCAGGGGGCCTGGCACTTGTCTGGGATGCAGCAAAGGCAAAAAAAGGCACTTGCGCTGGGGCTTGGTGGTGGCGTGCAAGTGGAGGGGGCTGCGTGGATGGGCCTAGCGCTGGTGGGGACGTGAATTAGAGCCTACGAACCAAACGCTGAGGAGCGGTGCTGCCCGCCAAGCCAGCCATTGAGGGAGCTGCCGCCATGCTGAACCTGCCTGCTCCCACCAATTCTAGGCGGCACATCGAGATAGTTCAGCATTGAATTTCAACACAATATCACAAGAAATAGCCTAGTACTGGATACAATATCAAGCTAAATATTATAGAATAATTTATTACTCTCTAGTTATTCTCTTATTTTTGTAATTTAGTTAAAAAAAAAACGAGGTCCCTGCCTTACGCGGAAAGAGCTTTGGTGTGCCACGTTTTATTCCACCCACTTGGAAGGAGACGTCCACCGCCCCTGTGAAACTCCCTAAACTCATGGCACCAGCCATTAACCCATCAAGGTGTGGTGGCGGCTGGCTGCCCTCCTCTGCCAAGTTCTGGACTTGAATCAGGAATGCACATGCATAATACTTTATGTACACATCCATTGTACATCGTGCATTTCACCGCCGCATGTCCACTCGATGGAGCTTGAGGAGCGGTCGCCAAGCTGGCTGATACCTCCAAGACCTCCTGCTGCCGTACGTGCTGTGTTTAGAGACCTCCTGGCTTGGCGCACAGATCATCGCCGGCATGTCTCTCGCTCTCAACAGACCAGAGCCAGGCGACCCATGGCGTCTAGCATTGTGAGAGCCACGTAATCCATTCCATTCCTCTCTTTGAGTTCATGGCCCTCTCTCCCCGGAGTAATTCAAAAGCAATTGGGATGGGATGCTATCCTCTGCGCCGGGCAAAACTCCCTGATTCGGTCCCTGAGCCCCCTTGTCGCCAGGCCCTATTTATACTCCGCGGCCGTGAAGGTACATTGGCCCGTCGCACATGGGAGGCTCCAATTGACCGTTGGTCCCGGCTCCCTCCAGCACAATTGGTCGATCATCTCACCTCCTTGCCCAGCTGCCAAGTCCAGCTGTTTTCTCCTAACCCGCCTAATTAGACCGCACGGCCCAAAAAAAGAAACAGGCACGAGAGCACGCACCAGAAGGAAAAGAAGGAAGCAGTGAGATCCAATCTCCCGCCCAATCTCCATCTATCCCAAAGAGGCCAGTCGTTCACGCGACCTTGCAGGCATCCAGGAAGCCGTCCTCGATAGTCATATTATAGCTATTTCCCCAGGAGCAATGTATGATGCCCTCTTGCGCAAACTATTACTCAAGTCCTCAACGTGTCTCCAATCGGGCCACGCCCACCAACTTTGTCCTAATTTGCCTCCCCCCCGCCTTTCTGTCTCCCTCCGCTGCCCAACCCCTTGCTTTTTTCTTCTGGCTTCTCCTCCCTTGACTCACTCCGTCCCATCTCTCCACACGACTGACTCTGTTTGCGCAAGCCAGCCCCGGGGCACGCGCGAGGAAGCTTCCGCCCTCTAATTAGAAAGCAACTACCGAAGCTGCCAGTCCCGGATCGTCCTCGCCCGCAAAGGTCCTTTGTCACGAGACATGACAGTTTTTGATCAGCAACATCGGTATCTATGATTTTTAATTAAAATGAAATTTGCACATTGTATAGCGCCCAACGTACGTATCCAGAACGGCGGCCTCAACTAGATGCGCCATTGTTCCCTCAAACAATGGCGCATCCCTGGTTTTCTCCTGCCCCATATTCCAAACCGCCCGTTCTTCCCCTCCAAATCCACCTCACCCAACATAACTACCCTATATCCCCCATCCCACCCATTCAACAACATCAAATCGCAAACAACACCATCGATCACGACCCATCGATCACGCGCATCCCTCTCCTCCCACGTGGCACAGTCACTCTAATACCCATATGCCTATATTCCTGCCCCTTGACATCATACACGACCAAAACTGTACAACAAACCCAAAGACACAACCCAATCAGGCACCGACAACTTCCCAGTTTTCCCCCATCCATCCCAAGAAGAAATGTCGGTGTCCAATTCCGTGCCTTGATTTCTAGCCAATGTTCTCTCTTCATTGTGGCCTACCTCGCGCCCCCTGTAGAGCTGAATAAAACAGGTACCTCGCCCCGATCCCGGATTTCCTGCACCATATCACATCGTACAGCCATAGCCAAGAATCCCAGACGCATGCCCACGTCACGGATATGTATGTGGTGGACACACAACGACCACGCTTGTTCGTCTTCCCACACCTGGCATAATGGGCCCTAATTGCTCAGATCCCGGCGATGGCCACCTGATCGCTCTCCCCAACATATCTTGCATGAAGGCTTGCTCCGTGTTCCTGATTTATAAAGTGCTCCCACTCAACATGCCTTCATGACTCTCACAATGGTCTTGCCTGGCGGAGGGAAAATTCCGTGATCCAATGCCTCAAGTACTTGAATTGCCGCATCATCGTCTGTGAAACGAGACACCAGTGACGACATCTACTTCAGACTACTTGGCTAGTACGCGAGTGATGGCGTGCTAACAATTTAGTATCCGTGAGCGGTCTGCTCAAGTACGCAGTCATCACATTGTATTATCATAAAATCTCGTTGGATAAACCTGGGCAGGAAGATATGCTCGGCAAATAAATTGCAGCTATCTTGATTTGTAGTAGCAAGTTGCTCGTGTGCTAAAACACAGATCCACCTGATGATTCCAAGAAGCAAAGTAGTTGTACAAAACAACTGGATATAGAAGACCCAAAGATCATATCCTCAACTTGTCCTCTCGTTCACCAACTCCACGTGTGGACCCTGCCACATATCCATACATTCCTATCCGTCCATCCCATCTCCTGAATGAAATGAACGTTGGTTTCTAGCAAGCATTCAAAACAACATGTTATATGGCGTAAAATTACGCTCGTCAACGACCGTGTTTCCAGACTGCAGTCCAGGCACATGTGCCCGTCGGCTGATGTCCTCACAGATCCAAATCCAGTGTGAGTGATGCTTCTCCATGCCCACAGCGACGTGGTAGAGCAGCACGCTGATAACCGGAGCTGCCGTTGGTTCCGGATACTTTGGCTTGATGCCTCGAGTGACCCTGCGGGAGGCTCCCAGACGATATCTTGCGAACCTCATGGCGGCACGGAAATCGGAAGCGGAAGCGGGATCATAATCGCCTACTGGCTGGGCGTCACAGTGCTCTCTGAGAGAGTGTTGAATCAGGGCCTCATGACCCTCGCTTTGGAAAAAGGCGACTGATCCGAGTTGGGTTCTCGGGCCAAGGCAATTCACCGCCTTAGTCTGCACGCCCTCCATGCACGTCTGTTTCCAGTCAGTACCAAAGCTTACAAGATTGCCACCTGTTCTAAGGAATGGAATGCCAAAACCAGAATGTAATACCATAAAGTCGTGAGAATGACCGCCGTCCATGTTACAGGCTACAAGGTCACAGGTGCTAGCAGCGCTGTCGAGCGGGGAAATCCCCTTTTCTGCGCGGGACGAGTCGGGCTTGGGCAGGTGGCTGCTCGCATCGTCTAGCCAGTAGAGTCGAGGTCCGGTAAGCCAACCATAGCCAATGTCGTGGTTCTTCATGAAGCGGAAGACATCGAATTCAATGTGTTCGGTGAAGAGTGCCTGTTGTCAACCACAACGTAAGCCCAAGGTAGAAGGGAGATTGAGGGATTCCATTGACACTGGTGTAGGGGCAAGGGGTAAAAGGTGCAAGGGAAAGAAGGTGCAAGAGAGAAAAAGGTGGGAAAGGGAAAAGGTGCTAAGGCAAAGGGATTTGAGGTGAAAAAGGGAAGCACTCA